GGGGGGGGGGGGGGGGTCCCAGGACCTTTGTTATTTATACATCATATACAATGGCCACTGTTCCCCAAATGTAGATGGTGTCATGAAACAGTTAGATAAATGAATAGAGAATTGCTCTGAACAGCTGCAGGTCATGATGGCAACTCTACTGCATCTCTGGATAGCACACAGTGAGGACACGGGGGATATCCCCACCCCTTCCAAGAATACCAAACGCTGGACAAGTTCTGCTTTTCTCCTAATCTCATAATGTTGCAAGACATCTCTTCAAAACAGGCTTCCTGAGACCAGAGGTCCTGGGCTGGCACCAAAATAGGAAACCCTTGGGAACTGACCGCTCCAAGACAGGGGTCACAAATCCTTGGCCACTCCCTTCCTAGTTCCAACACGAGTGTGTAAGCCATGGCTTGGAGACCTACCTGCCAGAGTGAGGTTTTGAGTCCCATTGCTATAGTGCTGGAAAATATAGTCCAAGAAGTAGTGCTGGTGAGGAAGTGCGTGGAAGCAGCTTCCTCGTAGCACGTGGTAGGAGAGAAACACCAACACCTGCCCGGCTGGATTCGGTGCTACGTGGCGGGAAACGGACATGCTGTTTTCCAGGATCTGGCCCACTTCTGCACAGGGCTGGGGAGTGGAGAAGAGCAGACAAGAGAGCAGGCTGGGCTTCCGGCCTTTCTCAGCACAGCCCTTATTTCCCCCAGCTACGAATGCAGAGCGACTAACAAGCACAACGAATTCATATTCAGAGGAAAAGCAACAGATGGGAGTAGAAGAAGGGAAAAAGAGAGACCGAAGTGTGGGATTTAGCCCTAGCAATGGTTTCCAAAACTTGCGTGTGACTCTGTTGTCTTCACAAGGAGGACTAGAATGTTGGTCTCGTCATGTCTAAACAGTGAAAGCCGCTTTCCCCATATTTGAAGGGTTAAAGAGCGATGCCATATTTCAATAGAAACAACCCTGCTTGCAGCCTGGCCTTGAAGACTCGTAAATCTGTAACTTTAAGAATTACCCGGAGAAAAATTCCCCTTGCCTCAGATGTGGGTTTTTTTGAGCAACTTCAGAGGCCGCTAACTAACTACTCGTTGCGACTTAAAATAGCATAGAGTTTTGATTTGGGTAAGCTTCATTTTTAAGACACTTGTAGCCCTTTTCAGGCTGGGTCTCCCTTCTCCCCTCTGAACCCTTGTGTGACATGAACTTTCCCAAGCTCATCATCTCGTCAGAAACAGTTACAGCTTCACTCGTGGCAGGTCTGCGCATGTCCTGGAGAAAAATACATTACACGAACATCCAGCTGCAGCTTCTGAGTGTCTGCAAGCATCTGTCGTCTGGAAAAATCTTGGGCACCTTTGCAAGAACGGAATGGGCTCTCCCTGCACCACCACCCCGGGAATTGGAGGGCACCAACTTTCTTGGCCTTCTGGAAACCCATTAAGGCCTGGCTTAGGGCCAGGACATCAGGGAGCCCAACATATTGATTGATTGATTGATTGATTGATTGATTGATTATATCCCATCAAGTCATTTTCAATTCCTAGTGACCACAGAGATAGATCTTTTCCATGACAATGCATGCCTACGTATGCTTGGATGTAGAACTCATGTTATATGGTGCCTCGGTTTCCTTTTGTACCGGATTACTTTTAACTGCATCTTTCTTTGGTTATGGAGGTGTTTTATACTGTTTTTTAATAAACTCCTGTTAACTACCCAAAGTTATGTATTTATGATAGGCGACCATATACATTTCTAAATCAATCAATAACAATATTTTAAACTCAATCCATCGGCTGACTTTGGATTCTGAATGTGTGGTGGCAGAGGACAGCCACTTCAGCCATGGGACGTTGATCCTGCGGGGGATGTGTTAGCTCCTGAGAGATTTCCAAATATAATTCCAAGTCCTGGTAGTCATCCGTGAAGCCCTCCGTGGCTTGACTACCAGTTATCTTTAGGACCGTCTCCTTCCTGCTGAATCCGCCCATCCTGTGTGGCCAGCTCAGGAGGCCTTGGCCCCAGCCCCCCCACGCCGTGAGCTGCACAGGATAGGGGCCAGAAGGGAGGCCTTCCCAAACCCTGATGCAACAGCCTCTCCCTGGAAATCTGGACCAACTCCACTTTATTGGCCTCTGAAGGCCAACTGAAGCTATGCGGTTTCTCCAGAATTTGGGGCTGTAGTTCATCGGTTAGGGCTTATGGAGGGTTTTATGGTTAATCTGGATTTTATCTGCACTGTTGCTGTATCTGATTTTATGACAATTATGTTTTATTGATTTTTATGACTCTGAACTGCCTGGAGTCAGCTTGAGCTCCACAGTTTCCAAATGCTGTTATCTATATGGTGATCTCTCTCTTCTTTCCTGCAGCTCGCCAATTATCACCCCCCCCTTACCTCTTCTTTTTTGATGACATGTCTCTGCATGAGCTGCATCCGCCGCGCCACTTTCTCTGGGGTGGGTCCAGCTGCCGGGTTTCCACTGAAGAACCTGACTTGGAAAGCACGGACCTCGGTCGCCCAGCGTCTGTCGGTCACCGCCTGGCAGGCTGCCTCGGGATCAGAGAAGTACCACACCAGCCCGGCAGAGAAGGGCAACAGTTCCAGGGACGTGAGGTTGGCCTCCCCAGAATCTGTCTTCCCCACCAGTTCAAAGATGTTTGGGGCAGAGAGACACTGCAGGAGAGGAGAGGAGAGGAAGATTGGCGTTATCTAATAAAGAGTTCTGTGTAATTCCCAAACTGGCACGTTTTGAAATCAGCCCCCACGCCCACTCAGCCTCAGCAAACATGGGCTCCAGCAGATTTATTTCGAAATGGGTTTCAACATCCAGCTAGAGGAGGAACCACTCTGGAATATGTGGAGATGGGGTTAGTCTCTGCCACGCAGAGTCTGGCGGCATCTTCCGGCCTCCCCGAGATGACTGGGGCAGGGTTTCCCGTGAGCTGCATCTGCTGGCTGCAAGGTTGGCAGGCAGGTTGGGCTGCACCCCACTCCTTCACAAGCATGGAAAAGGACGAAAGAATAAAGAAAAGGAGCTGGGGCTCCTCCTCACTGCCGTCAGCACTTCCTCCCCTCCTGACACCGCTTTGAAAAGCTGAACTCGAAAGGGGAAAAGACCGGGAGGGAGGGCGGGAGGGAGGGAAGCACCACAGGGCAGCTTGAGGAGGATCCCCACGGCTTCACGGCCGGGTCAGGTCGCCCTTTGCCCAACGAAACAGAAGGCTGGCTGCTGCCTTCTCTCTCCCAGACGGTCTTTCCGATTGCCCCACCTAGCCTACAGCCCTGGGGTTTTCTGGAGTCCCCCATCCAATATTAACCAGACCTGCCCCGAGTGCTTCATTAAATCTTGGGCTGGGGAAAAGGAAGGGCCCCAGCCAGGGAAGCGGGGAAGCCGGGGGCTGCCAGGCTGTGGCACAACGGCCAGGGAGCTGCCAATGAGAAGCTCACAGCAGGACAGGGGGTAGCCCAGCCCTTCCCCAGCGCAGATTCTTCCGCAGCCAGATTGAGGAGGCCTCTCCTCCAGCTGGGCACCCCGTGACGAGCTTATCCCTATTTGAAACTTTCCAAACAGGCATTGATTTATTTTTATTTTGTCCATTCAAATCCTGTTCTGCGTCCTCCGTTCCTTCTTGTATTTCTTTTGGGCAATTTTTGTTCCTGTTTGGACGGAGCCTTCCACCTTTGCAAGGAAGTCTTCCTCCCCTCCGCCATACCAGCGACTTCTTGGACCTGGCTGTAGCTTTCCTGACCCACAGCCAGGGGTGTCTGCAGGGTGTGGTCCAAAAGGTCAAGATGGCACCACGGCAGCGCAGTTGAATCTCTACCTGTTTTTCCTATGTGTCACCCATAAAAAATAGGCAGAACTTCAATTGCACCAACATGGTACCATCTTGATTTGTTGGGACCACACCCTGCAGACACCCCTGGTTTCTACATGGATGAAAGACCAGCAGGAGATCTTAGGGCTTGAGGCTAGACTGGGAAGTTGAAGGAGAAGGCAACGGCATACCACTTCCGGATTCTTGCCAGGAAAATTAATGGGTTGCATCTCTGTAATCCCCAGCAGCCCAGCTCAACTTAAAGGAGATCTTACTTATTAGGGTGTCTGGGTGCAGTGTGGCCCCAGGCATACAATGGTAGAAGGACCTCTGCTCCCCACCTCACCCATCTCCCTCCCTCATTCCAGCCTTGGGCTGTCCCTCCTGGTGCCCCCAAAGTCATCCTGTCCTTGCAACACCATCCAGGCCTCCCTTTGTGCCAAGAGAGGGAAATGCAGCTGTTCAGGCAGGGCTGGGCCTGGCAATCTGGCCCATGAAACCAGCTTGTATACCTGTTTCATTGTGAAACAGAAGGTGGATCAGGCCAAGACACCCACCCAAACAGCTCTCAGCTCTGCAGAAAAGGGGCCCGTGCAAAATCTGGGCGTCTGGGTGAATACCAGCCTGCCTTGAAGCTGAGGATGGACCTGAACCCAGGTCTCCCCACTCCAGCCCTTAAGCATCCTCTCCTGACTCTGCACCCATCTGTAAACTGCCAGGAGCCTTAGGGAGGAGCAGCTGGGGCCACTCCCCACACACACCTCCATAGCTGCGCCTGCCTCTAGAAAGCTTTGGACAGGGGCACCGGGTTCTCGGAGAGCTCACTGGCTCAGCTGCTCCTGGCCATGTCCCTCCGCTGGGCTGGGCCGCAGCACCCTTCCCTCTCTTCAGCTGGCAGGGATGTAGCCCCAGATTGTGGAGGCCACCGATTGGGGAAGACTGGCACAGGCAGAAGGCCCCTTGCAGCGGGAGCATCGGGTCACTCTGGGATGAGCACAGGAGCTGTAGGTTGGGCCCAAAAGGGATGGGGGACAAAGAACTTGTCTGCTCCTTCTCCAGTCTTTGAGACCCTCAACCTAACCCAGGAAGGCATCCCAGTATCCTCTGGAATGATGCTTCCCAAGGCTGCTCCAACAGTGGTCCCTGCCTAAGGACTTCTTGCATTCCTTGACACCTCCCCACCCTCCCAACGGTGGCCAACGAGACCTTTCCCCAAAGCTCTGATGCCTCCGTGCTCCAAGTGGGAGGAAAGGGGCTGCTCAAGGAAACGGCTGCTGTTCCCCGTAGTCAGAGGCAGTGCTGTCCAAGTCCTCAAGCCCTTTCCTCCAACCTGGCAGCCTGCAGATCTACTAGGCTTCCATTCTTAGACCCCCCCCCAACTAGGAATTGCACCCCCTCCCCCAGTTCTGATGGGCATCAGGCCAGCAGTGGCAGTGGCTGAAACAAGGAAGTCTCCAAGATCAATCCTAGCAACTTCGGGAGGATAGCTGACAAATTGGGCGATCTCTGGACACAGAAGCCCCGTCTGCAAAACCATCAGTAACCCCAGTCTTGCTGGGCTCCCTTGGCCAAGTTTGCGCGCCCGGCTCAGTTTCCTCCCAGCCCTTGTAACATGAGCACTTCAGAAACAGCTTGTTTGAAGGGCCTTTCCTAGTCCGGCAGCCCCTCGGCATTGCTGTAGCCCTTTGACTCGGCTGGAGGTGCTGGGAACTGTAAACAGACATGGCAAATGGCAGTTGAGTAGAAACGTGGATGATAAATTAAAACCCTCTGTCTGGGGCAAGTGGGGAGGGGCAGGTAGCTTTGGGACATGATCATTGCCTGGAATCCAAAGTCACTTTCAGATGGCTTCGCCCCCCAGGCAGTTTCCATTGCAATGGAAGAGACCTTTTGGGCATTTGATTCTAATTCTTTGGCTGGTATGGTTAAAAAAAAAAGGAATAGCACATTTACAGGTGTCCTTCACATAAAAACAGTTGAGTAATGTTTAAATGCCAACAGAACATGTACACTGGGGGAGGAAGGGAATTAAACCAAATTAAGGTGCAGAGACATCACACTGACAACAGTGGGTCAAAGTCATGGTTTCCCCATCCAGCTGGGAAAGAAAATGAATGTCTTCGGACTGCGATGCTGGAGAGAACTGCTGAGAATCTCTTGGACCACAAGAGCACATCCTTCTGTCTGAGATGAAGTACAATAAAACAGCTCTCTGGAAGCCATAAGAGCGAAGCTAAAGCTTAAATATTTGGGCCACATAATGAGAAGGAAGATGTCATCGGAGGAGGCAGAAGAAAAGAGGCAGAGAGAATACAAGACGGTGAGTGGCTATCTTTGAGAACACAAAGGAGCCATTATGGCAAAAGGAAGAGTTAAAGGAGGCTGAACCAGGGTTTCTCAACCTCAGCAACTTTAAGATGTCTGGACTTCAACTCCCAGAATTCCTCAGCCAGCACTGTGGACTTCAACTCCCAGAATTCCCCCAGCCAGCATGCTGGCTGGGGGAATTCTGGGAGTTG